CCACAATCATATAAACTAATTCCTTGAAATGATCTCTCTCTCTCTCTCTCTCTCTCTCTCTCTCTCTCTCTCTCTCTCTCTCTCGTTAGATGATAGATGGATGGGCAAACAGACAGACAGACATCCCACTGGTTCTACTAGAACCCTGGCTAATCCAAAGTCATGGTTTGAGTGTCTCTTGGGTACTCTCTGATCTCTCCCAAAGTGGGAGGATCACTTTGGGGATCAGAGATCAAAGGAGGATCCCCTCCTCCTGTATGCCTTCCTTTTCCTAACTTCCTTCCCTTCCTTCTGAAGGGCTTCTGCCTCAAAAACACAGAATGCCTATATCTACTGAGAGAACCACTTTAAAATGGAGCCACAGCTGCCATGCCAGAGGAACTGCCTCATGTATCTCATACATCAAATCACTGGAATGTTTTAAACAGAGTCAAAATAACCTTTGGATTGGGCCTAAGCAAGCTGGTGTCTTGCCAAAAAACAACAACAACAAAATCTGTTTACAAAGATAACAAAAAAGAAAATATTACAACTACAAAACTAATAACTACTGGACTGAAAATTAAAAACATTTAGAATTAATATCACTGTTAATTTATTTGTACCAAAAGAAATACCTTCCTTTTGTTGATGTAATTGTTCCCCTTCCCTTTTTCATAAATATCCAATGCCTTTGTCCCTTAATCATAACATTATTTGGGCTTCTGCCTGAATCAGTGTGCCCAAACAGTTACTCTTATTGATCTAAATAAATGCTGTTTTCCTCTCACTTTGAAAGGGCTTTTATTTTTAGGTTAACAATATTAATAACCACAATGAAGCCTGGTTTCTTCAATTACAGCTCCACTCCTAGCCTTACTCTTCATCTGTGTCCAATCCCAGAAGTTTACCATATTCCCTCCACTTCTTCCTTCTCACAGCCCCATTTCTCTTCATCCGTTGTCTCCCAATATTCCTTCTCTTCTTCCAGTGGTAATTGTGATTTTTAACCAACATGTAACTTTCCAGGATCAAACTACATTTCTCAGCCTCCTTTTCAAATGTGTGGTCATAGACAAGGTTATAGCCAATGAATGGTATGTCAACAGAAGTAATGTGTTCAACTTACAGGTTCTGCATTAAAAGGAAAGGTATGACAAAATGTAGAAGGGTGATGAGCCATACTGGATTTTGTGGGCCACAGTGCCACCTCTAGGGGAGTGGAGCAATAAAATATATTGTCACCTGGACTTCATCTGGTTTATACTAATTTCTGGAATCTCTACAGCAATGTACAAATTTTCATCCTAGCCAGTATACCTCAAAGCTTATCAAAAGAATAACCCACTTCACTCAACCATCTACTTTTTGAACCACTGAGTGTCCTGACTGCTTCTCCTCCTTCCTGCCCTTAAACATGGGTGCCTCCTTCACTTCCAGGGTCTTTCCTTATAGTTTCTCCCTTGGAAATCACACCCATCCTTATAGAAGATGACTTCACATTCCTCTAAGCCTAACTCATCTCTAAGCAACAGTTCTGCTTATGTGACCTCTCTTGTCTGACCAATTGGTAGCACATCAAACTCTGTATATTTAAAATTGAACTCACAATTATGCCTCTGCCCCTCTCTCTTTACCTTTCTCTCATGCATGCACACACACATACCATGGGGGTCAGAGTGGACCACCTACTCTCATCCTGATTTCCCTGGTTTAGTAAATGGAATAAATGACACAACCATCCTGCTTGGAGTCCACCATGTTCAAAACTCTAAGGCAGGGGAAAATCAAAATGCTTATAGAAACTAGGCACCATGTCAAGGCACAAGAAGTCAGCAGTCTGCAACCCAGACAATTCTCACCAGAACCGAACCCTGCTGGCTTCCAGTCTCTACAACTGTGAGAAACACATTTGTTTATAAATCACCCAGTCTGTGGCATTGTTATAGCCACCTAAACAAACTACAACAGTTTACATATGTTCAATCATTTTATAGTGCATTAAAATAATGTGAGCTCTAATAAACATTTTTCACAAAACCCTAAAATAAGTATTGACATTTCCATTAAAACATCATTTATAAAGGATAAAACTCTTGAAAACATTTTTCAAAATGGCTAACCATTCCATTTTTGTTTCTATTACAGTGAACATACAAAACTTACTGTTTTTCAAACTGCTTGTGCAGCTCTAGCACTTCAAGCTGTCCATCAAGGTTCACTTTTCATTACATAATTTGCAGTTCTTTTATGTATAATAGCAAGTAGTTTATTGAAAAAATATGAATTACTTGACTTAGGTCTTATACTGCTTTACCCAAAATTAATTAAATTTGGTAAGTTATGCCAAATTCAAACACTCAAATTTTTTTCTAAATTTTTGGCTAAAACTCAAGATTCTCTCTAGCATTAACACTGGCACTTTTTGTACAAAATCAATGACTTTTTAAAAATTGTTGTAAAATATCCCAATGACATTTTTATGGAAATATTTTTCAATGAAATATAATTTTTTGGCCCACCAGCAAAAGTTCAATACATTGTATTAAATGTGGTTCTAAGTGCCATAAGATCAACAAAAACTGTTATCTTCAAAATCTTGAAATTTGTATTTTAAGCAAATTATTTTTTATTTAATATTTCTATTTTTTCAATTACAGTCTACATTCTATATTACTTTGTATTAGTTTCAGATGCACAGTATATTGGTTAGGCAATCATACACTTTACAAAGAGCTTTCGCCACTATTTCCAGTACTGATCTGGCACCCTAGTTATTACAATATCGACAATGTATGCCCTATGCTGTACTTTACATCCACATGACTATTTTGTATCACCAATCTGTACTAAAGGTGAAGAGTTAATCCCTTCCCCTTTTCACCCACAGTCCCCAAACCCCCTCCCCTCTGGCAATTGTCAGTCTGTACTCTGTTCTCTTTTGTTTGTTCATTTTTGTTCTTTAGACTTCACATATAAGTGAAATCATATGGTATAATATTTGTCTTTCTCTGTCTGACTAATTTCACTTACCATAATACCCTCTAGGTTCATCCATGCTGTTGCAAATGGTTAAAATTAAGCAAAATACTAAAACTTATTTTCTTCAAAGACTTAATTTATTTACTCACAGAGACAGGGGAAGGGAGAAAGAGGGAGAGAAACGTCAACATGAGAGAAACATCAATCAGTTGCCTCCTGTACATGTCCCAACAGGGAACAAAACCCACATCCCAGGCATGTGCCCTGATTGGGATTGAAGCAGCAACCCTTCACCTTCCAGAACGTCACACCCATTAGGGTGAAAACACTTTCATGTGAGACAAATGAAGCATCTTTGAGGATGATTTAAAATGTATTGCCTTGATTATGTTTTCCAAAAAGTTTTCTCATTGAGGCACATCTGTTCTGCAACAAGTGGGTCTATAGTACCCATGTCCATAATTATTCCTCTGGAAGTTCTAGTAAATATTTTTGTGGAAATGTTTAATTATACTTATATATCCCAATAGTACTTTCTAAGTCTTCTTATTGCTTTATTCTCACTTTAATAACATTTGGGGGCGTTTTAAGTTTTCAAATATTTAATATATGAAATTGTTTTAAACTTCTTCCAATGTACTAACTAAATTATTGTAATAATTTATTTTCCTAAAGCAATGTTTTAGCACATGCAACTTAGCCAGAGTCCCTAAAGTGACACAGACCAAACTATGGCATGTTTCTCAAATGTCACTGCAACAGGAGGCCCATTTTCTATGGTACTATATCCTAAAACTGTCAGTACAAACCAGTGAGTTTATATTAAAATTTAATTTTAAAGAGAAAAGAAGGGGGAAAGAGATCTTTTTAACCTTAAAAAGAGAGAGGGAGACCTCTTGTCCTACCAAAATCCTGAAAAGGAATTTACAAATCTTGGATACCCGCTAGAAATGGAAGTTATAGGAAAAGTAGGAAAAGCAATCCCCAAATTATTATTGCAAAAAAGCATCTTGACACATCTGCATTTCCAACTTCTACCGGTTCAGGACAGGACTGAGCTCCATGAAATCTTCCCTAATCCCCAGCCCGTAGCGCCCACCACTTCCTCCTCCTCTGATGTTCACAGCATTATGTCCCTTTCTTTTAAATATATTATTTACATATTACCCTTGATTATAGGTGCATCGAAAATAAATCCAAACTGTCCATCTAGCATCCCTTGACTCTTATCCATTGTTCCACCAACACTAAATCTTACTGTTTTTTTACATAACCTTTGCCTCAGCCAAATAGGCCTTCTTTACCCACAGACCTTAAGTTGTCACACCACCACGTCTCCCTCACAAGGGTTTCCTCAACATACAGCACCACCCTTCCTCATTTCTTCTCGCCGGAATCAGTCTGGCGTTGGGACAAAAGTAACTGAACTACTCCAGGAAGCCTTCCGGGATTGCCTAACGGGCCTGACCATTTCCTTAGCTGACCCCCGCTCTTCCGACCGTCTTTCTCTCTCCGTGAACTCATCCTTTCAGTCCTCCTAAGGCAGGGGCAAGGCAGGAGTTACTTCCGGGGCCCAGGAGAGACTGAATAACTCGACTAACGACTAACGAGTGTGTCGGTCCCTCGAGCCGAGCGCTAGGGACCGCTACTGTGGTGCCGCTACTGTGGTCGACGCTGGAACAAAGCCTGCTCAAAGGAGCTTACAGTCTATTCAATATTGTAAGTTCAGTAAAAGGAATGGAGGTGACCCGGGACTCTGCCTCGCTCGCAGAGCTAAGGGCGCAGGCATCATCTACTATTTGTGTCCGTTTTTCTAACAGCCAGCACTGCTCCCACCTCCTGATACGCAACCAGCCCCTTGCGCTCTCGCGTTACCAAATCTGCTCAGTCACACACTCCCAATCCCACCCACACCTACCTCTTATGGACTGGCCAGGGGAGGCCCGCTGCATGCCGGGAGTTGTGGTCTCCGCTGTGGCAGTGTGGCATTGGGGCCAGCTTTCAGTGCGTGGCAGGAAGCGGAAGCGGCCTACGGCCTGCACCGGTCCGGCTTCCACCGCGCCCCGCCCCGCTCACCCCAGTGCTATCACTGACGTGTCTCTCTGTGGAGGTGCTGCGCCCCTTTGCAAGCTGGGCCGAGGCCAGCGTCGCCTCACGCGGACTGTAGTGGAGCAGAAGCAGGACCCGGAGTCCAAGCAGCCACCGCCATGGCGAGTGAGTCCCTCGGGGCAGTCCCTGCTCCGCCGCAATAGATCACATTCCCCCTTCCCCTCACAGGTCCCGGCAGGTGTCCGCTCGCTAGGCCTGCTTGGGTCCCAGGCCCTCCTCCGGATACCCCAAGCGTTTCAGTACTCGGTCTGCTCTCCTGCCCCTTGCCCTAACACAGTCTGGGCCGAAGGGCTTGCCTGGGTGGCGCGAAAGGTTCTCCCAGCTCTAATTCTCCTTTTGTTTCTCCCATCAAAGTCAAATTTCTGGAAGTCATCAAGCCCTTCTGTGTCATCCTGCCTGAAATTCAGAAGCCGGAAAGAAAGGTGAGTTCCCCAAATCGCCGATATAGGAGGCTTCGTGAAATTCTGGGCGCTTGATGTTTACAGTACAATTAAAAATGGCTTCAACACGCCAATGGAAACTCTCTCACTTATTTTTCCCCTAGAGTGCAGTTGTGTATACTCCTGAGCTTTGTTGAAAAGTGACCTTTTTGTGTGGGAATTTCCACCTTAATCATCTTGCTGTACTCAGAGCATCTTTTGTGAATGTTCGTCCAGTGAACAAAGCCTCGAGTTTGCCTTGTCCCCAAAATTTATTATGGCAGTGAATAAGGCCTCAAAAGCCTCAGGATACTCACTTGAGTTACCCTTCCATCTTCACCTCCAACAGGAACAAATCATGAGTTGGATTTTTATGGGAGATGCTCTTTGTAGCCAGCTGTTAAAAGAAGCTAAGAGCAGTCACTTTATTCTGTACAAATGAGCTTTATGTAGGCTGCCAAATTAGCTGAGAGTTAAAGGCATTTTGTGAACCCTGCTGTTTACAGCAGGCACATTAAAACGTGGAAAAATAGAAATGTAAACTTACATTGAATCTTTGTCACAATTTCTGCTGCTGTGTGGCTATAGGCCAAGATAGTGAGTGATGCTAAAAGTAAGTAAAGCTGTCAGACAATAAAGAAAAGTTTCACTGGGTTCTTTTTTGTTTTTTAAAATTTATTTATTTATTTATTTAGAGAGGGGAAGGGAGGGAGAAAGAGAGGGAGTGAAATATCTATGTGTGGTTGCCTCTCATATGCCCCCAACTGGGGACCTGGCCCACAACCTAGGCATGTGCCCTAGAGTGACCCTTTGATTTCCAGGCGGGCACTCAACTGCTGAGCCACACCAGCCAGGGCTCATTGGGTTCTTAAAGAATAGTAATATATTTTGATTTCACATTCTTCTCAGAGTATTATTTATACATTCATATATATATGTACTTGACATTAACATGGACAGTTGGGTTCTTGGAGCATCCTTTTTTCCTTTTTTGGACATAAAACTGTTTTATATTGTATAAATATCCCACATATATACTGCCTTTGATGGGCTAATATGCACAACTCTTCCCTTTGCCCTACCCCCAGCATAGTAGAAAGGGCATGTATGGCTCTGGAGGCTGGCAAGCCTGGGACCCACCCTTTACTCAGCCTTTTACTAGCTGTGACATTAGCTTTGTAGCTTAAGTGTGATAGATGGAGCAGTGAAAATATGTGCAGAGTATAGCAGTGGCTTCAGAAGGAATTAACTCTGGAAGATGTGATGCCTGATGATGGTTTTGAAGGAAGAATAGAAATTTCCTTGAAGTAACGGAAAGGAACTCCAGGCATAAGGAATATATAATGTGCAAAGGCACTGAAGACAAGCAGGCTGGAGAATGTTAGGTATAGTTCAGAATTGAGAAGAACATAAAGAGTAGATGGAAAGCAATAAGCCAAACAGATTAGAAAGCTGCTTTGGAAGTAGGGTAGAGGACTGGATTGGTTTAGAGGCTTTTGCATTAGAGGGTGAACTATGGGAGTGGGTTAGGAGGAGATAAGGATGGATTTAGGGGGTCATTAAAAAGTAGAGTTAGAAAAGACTTAGATACAACTTTTGATGTTTTGCTGTTGAATTTGACCACATATAGGAGAGACAAGGTTATTAACAAATAAGGAGTCTTATAAAAATTGTCCACTCTTTTTTTCTATGAAGAATTATTTCAGTACAAGTCTGTTATGTTACTGGTTAGCCTTCCCTTGGTCTCCTAATTCTTTGCTGTGATGTGATGGCAGGTGAAAAGGGGAGCATTCTCAAGAGGAGGAAGAGTTCTGTGAATTCACTAAACTTCACATGGAGTATCTGGATATGGAATTAACACCACCTTTGTATGATTGTGTTATCATGGCCTAAAGTGGTAGATAGAGACTAGAACTTCTATTCTGACCAGAGAGCCAGGACTCTGGCTTGGTGCTTGCTTAGACTCCTCTCCCCTTCAAATTAAAAAGTATTTTAAGAATACAGTTTTGTTCACTTAATACTGTCACTCTAAAGGCATATCCACATAAAAATCTTTAGTCTGCACAATTTAACTGTGTTTGTTAAGCCCTTTAAAGCTATTTTTGCAGTGTAGGCAGCAAGTACTAATGGAGATGCTGAGTTTTAGAGGCAGAAGACCTAGAAGAATTCCCACTCTACTGCTTAGTACCAGAGGGGATTTAGACAGGGCATCTAAACTTCTAATAATTCTTATTAGTTATCTGTAAAATGATTCTGAAGTGTAACCTATCCTACTTACATACCCAAAGAGATGTGAAAAGTCTTAGACAGATGCTTTTAGTGAGTAGGTTAAATTTGCAACTCTCCATACCCTCCCACCCCGCATTGTTTATTATTATACATTGTTTTACCCTTAATTCATAGAAAATATACTACATATTAAACAATCACAAATTCCAAATTAGTTGATTTCAGAGTAAGATTTTGTCAGTTACAAAATCCTTTCAAATGAATGGTGATGTCTCATATGTTGTAAGGGCTTATCTGGTTTAAGAATCCCTTTCAATCACAATATTTTGTGATCTTGGGTCTGATCCTAAACTGTTAATGCTAGTGGTTAAGAGCACACACTTTGGACTCAAATTCACTTCATTTGTGGGATTTGGGACAAATTACTTGTGTCTTCTAAGATTCAGTTTTCTCATTGTAAAATAAAAATAATAATGCTATGTGGTACAAGGATAAAATGAGATGATGCATATCAAGGTCTTTGCATATGTACCTTATACATAGAAAGCCTGCAGTGCATGTTCTTTTATTTTGGTACTTATATTTGGTACCTGGTTTGAAGTGTTCAAGACTTACTTTTCTGGTGATCAGGCAAAAGGGTCTGATATGAGTCCATTTCTATTAATTTGCTTATGGAAATAACTTGTTGACTTAATCCATTCTCTTCTATGTAGATTCAGTTTAAGGAGAAAGTGCTGTGGACTGCTATCACTCTCTTTATTTTCTTGGTATGCTGCCAGGTAAGCCCAGGTTTCCTGTTCTCATGTGGAGGTGGGGGTCAGAAAGGGCTGAAGAAAGTTTGCTGATTTCTTTTCTCTCTGCTTTTTTCCAGATCCCCCTGTTTGGTATCATGTCTTCAGATTCTGCCGACCCTTTCTATTGGATAAGAGTGATTCTAGCTTCTAACAGAGGTAGAACTCTGGCTCGCTGCACCTCTTTCTGTACAATGTGGGCTTGACTCACCTCTTTAGTTAAATACAGGCTTTGGCTTTATGTGTAATTCAGAGAGTGTTCGGGAAGAATGTTAGTGTGCTGTACTGAATAGCCTTAGTAAATGTCAGATTCAGCACCGAGGCATAGAATATTCAAAATTGCATGTGAATGTAGTACAAAGCCTGTAATAAGAAGATTATCGTAAGTCTATGTCTTAGAGAATTAAAAAAAAAAATAAAAACAGAAAAACTTGAATATTTTTTAAACAATGAAATCATAATATTTCTACCTATCTTTTCTTGTGCTTTGATAACCTTTAGAATATTTAATTTGTTTCTCAGCTCCATCTTTTTCATATCTATAGGTTACACATATGTGTCAAAAATATATAACAGAATGTTTTATATGCTCTAATTACCTTGGGGAGGATTTTGAATGTTTACATCAGTACTGCTTTTGATTAACTTATGATTTAAATATAATTCAAATTAAGTTTCAAATCAATTGGAAGTATGTTAGCATAATGGAAGTAGTTTATTCACAACTAGATATAATTATACAGGTTTCCTTTTCAAACTCTGGAAAATATTTGAATGTTAGTCTTTTTATTAACTGATGAAGAGACTAACCTTTCTTATCTCTGTAAAACCAGACTAAATCTGTTTGTGGTGAATTTAAATGCAGCTGTCTGTTTAAAAGCCATATGACATCCAAAACAGAATTAAGTTATGGCCTGGCAGACTGAACAGAATGAAATGAATTATACTGTAATCATTGATATTTTGGGATTAGTCTCTAAATTAAATGCTGCTAGCAAACTAAAGCACACTGGATTTGTATAAGAAGTACACAGTCAGCCCTGGCTGGTGTGGTTCAGTGAATTGAGTGCTGGCCTGTGAACCAAAGGGTTGCTGGTTCAATTCCCAGTCAGGGCATGCCTGGGTTGCGGGCCAAGTCCCCAGTGTGTAGGGTGTGCAAGAGGCAACCACACATTGATTTTTCTCTCCCTCACTTCCTCCCTCCCTTCCCATCTGTCTAAAAATGAATAAGTAAAATCCTTTAAAAAAAAAAGTACACAGTCAGATTTTGCTCATTTATTTTCTTAATAATGTGTTGCTTTTCCAAGATAATGTGGGCTGTATTTTGCCTCCCCTGTCCTCAGGCACATTGATGGAGCTGGGTATCTCTCCCATTGTCACCTCCGGCCTCATCATGCAGCTCTTAGCTGGCGCCAAAATAATTGAAGTTGGTGACACCCCAAAAGACCGAGCCCTCTTCAATGGAGCCCAAAAGTGTAAGTGAGATTTTGAATGGTTTGAATTTCTGTAGTTGAAAATTTGAATTCACTATAAAGTTGGGAGCATCAGAACAGTTTTTCTTTGTACAGTGTAACTTCTTTGGCCCACCAATCCTGCAGGTGGTCCTAGGCCTGTGATAGCAACAGAGCACTTCTCAGGGAGAGGGCCATTAGCCAGGGCCTGTATTAATACCACTTCAGTGAGGGGCTTGACTGTGGTCACATAACCTGTTGTTTTTCTGGGCACCACTCTTCATCCTGCCTAATGCAACATGCCAGTAGCATGGCAGCAATTCCTGTCATGCTCTTGGGCACTGCTCTGAGCAGCATCCTCTTTTTATACCATAAAACTGGTAGGAACTATGGAGAAAAAAATAAAGCAAGAAGAAGGTGGAGTAGGTGCTAAAAAAGAAAGAAGAGGAATATGTGGTGGGAAAAGTTCTCAATCATGGAGTGGTAAAGAGCAAAGTGGAGTAATTCCTAAAGTGGAAGTTGTTCTCAGATGAGAACAACATATGGGAATCAGAAGAGAACCTGAATTGTCCTGACCTCATTGCTGAGTTTCTACAGTCACAAAAAATAGCACATAAGACAGATAAATCAGAGGGAGGCAAGTGCAAAGCTGAAGATAGGAAGAGGAGAGCAAACCAAAGAAAAAGAAAGAAGACTCAGAACAGCCATGAGGCTTTGCCCAGGGTTTGAAGCTGGGATGGATTATTAGAGCTACAGAATCTAGTGGAAAACTCATGTTCCTGATGAAATGGGAAAACTTTGATGAGGCTGACCTGGTCCCTAACAAGGAAGCCAGCATTAAATGACCCCATGTTTTCATATCCTTATGTGAGGAAAGGCTCACATGGCATTGCTAGCCCTCAGAAGATGATGACAAAAAAGATGATATGGATTAACTCTTCTGGTACCAGCCCTTGTCTCATCTGACTGTGGATTTCAGGTAGGGAGGGGGAGTTCTTCTTTCCTGGACACAATAGAGATAGCTTGAGAAAGGTGTCCTTTGAAAGAACCAGTATAGTTTCTGTGCCCTAAAACAGGCCAAGTACTTTAAAGCTCTTCCATGTAGTATAGTTTGCACACCCATCCCAATGGAGGGGAGGGAGGATAAGTGTTTCAAGCAACCCATTCTGTACTTTGCTAAGAAGAGCAAAGGGCCTTCTATGGGTCATGGGAGAGCAAAAAGATACTGTAGAGTTTCAAAGAGCATCTCCACAACCCACAGCCTTCTTCCCAATAGTATTAACTGCATTTTAACAGCATAGCATGGATGCACAATAGTTTTGGGTTCTTATTGTATTATTTGGGGGTGGGAGGGAAGGGGTGAGAAGGGAGATGGGTGGGGTTGTTTTTTTTTATAATTTGGAGCCTGGTTGGGGAAATGGTGAAACAGTGTAAAGAACAAGGTTCTGTGCCCAGATTATTTCATCTTTACCAAAAACATTACTGGCAATCTAAATGAGCACTGTGAGAGACTGTTTAAAAGTTGTGAATGCTGGAAACTTACAAGCCAAGGTTTTCCCTGCCTAAGCTTAATGCTGTTTCCAGCAAAGAATTAAGCCAGCTGATAAGTTACCAAAGCTGTCATTTTGGGTATCAAAACTGGTTGAGAAGGGAAAGTCTTTTATTGGACCATATACATAGGTAGATTATTCTGTTTCAGAGGTTTTAATTCTTGAAATTGACAAGAAGATATTTTCCCAATTATGAATTTATAAATACTAGAGAGAACGAGAGAACTTTTGGAAAAGCCCTGGTACTTGGATAGGCTGTACAAGGCAGCGGGGAATATGTCCCTTATTCCAAAGGCTCCATAATTGCGTGGAAGGAGCAGGTCTTGGAGTTCTTGTTCCACCAGCTACATGTCCTTAACCTCGTAGGAGGAGATGGTATGTACTTCAGAGGTGTCATAAGAATTCAGTGGAATCACATTTGTAAAGCATCTCTTTGTCTTGGCACATAATAGGTATTGTGCAGGTGTTGTTTTTCTTCGGGGAGTTTAAAAAGATTCAACTTAGGGGAGAGGTGATCCTCTCAACCCAGCTCTACTATTTACTAGCTTTGTGACTCTGGACAAAGTTAGATGACAGCTCTTATCTCTCAGTTTCTTCATTTGTACAAGTGGGAATAGTAATATTTGCCTCATAGCAAATAACTCTCACTAGTAATAATGACCAGTCATCAAAATTATTCATGTTCAGCCTCTGACTGAGCTGAAATATATTAATTGGGATGTGATTGAGTTTTCTACCCAGCCATATTTTCTTCCACACCAGCATGTGGAAGAAATCTATTTAAGTTAATAGGTTAAATAATTAAGCAAAAAAAATTAATCTAATTTAAATTTATAAGTTTCAGGCACAAATCAGGGTTTTAAAATATATATATTAATTATTTTTCAAAAGCACAAATTGCCTGTTTTTTCTCTGGTCTTGGCAGCTTTTTTCATTTCTTCTGCTTTGAGAATTCAATGTCATTGAGCAATTTTTTAAAAGTCAAATAGGGACTACATTTCATGGGCACTCTGGAGTACAATTTTATTTTACTAATCAGGTTTGACAAACTAAACAGAAAAGCCAAACTTGAAGCCCAAATTCGTACTTAGAGATTCACTTAGTATTGCGGAACCAGTAAAAATGTATCAACTCCATTGTGCCTAATAATGAGGCACATAATGATTTAAAAAAAAAAACAGTCTACAAAAAGAAAACTTCTGAAAATGGGACAAGTGACTATAGATGCCATCTTGAGGGTTTTGTTTTTTGTTTTTTGTTTTTTGTTTTTTTCCTTTAAAAAAATATATATATGAACTGGGAAGAGATCCCTTTACTCCAGGGTTAAACATTTGTGTTCTGGACTTAGCCTGCAGAGGTGGCCCAAGTGTGTAGTTCAAACTCAGGAGCTCTCCAGAACCCAAGCAGCTTGATCTGAGTTTGGATGCTATCTTCAGTAGATATTGGTCCGTGATTTATCTTCCATAAAAACTAACTTGTCATATTCCAACTCTTTTCTTCTTCCCATCACTGAAAGGAAAGTACATTTAGGAGTGAAATTAAGGAGCTCACCTTGTGTTAACAGGCATTTGAGTTATTGTGTACTTTGACTACTGGGTGTTTCTTGGACCATGCTCCTTGGAGGCACTATTAGTATTCTTCATTTTTGTTTTCTTGGTGCCTTGCACGGAGTAGGTGTTCAATAATTGTTTCCTCCATGACTGTGTAATGTCCCACTTTGAGAACATAGTTTTGTTTTGTTTTTTGTTTTTTATTTCTAGTATTTGGCATGATCATTACCATTGGCCAGTCTATTGTGTATGTGATGACGGGAATGTATGGGGACCCTTCCGAAATGGGTGCTGGAATCTGCCTGTTAATCACCATTCAGGTAATTGTTATGCTAACACTTGCCCCTTCTGAGTAGCTCCTCATACTCACTTAGACTTTCCAAATAACAAACCTGAACCATGCATAAAAGGAGATGAACCACCTGTGATGACTCTTCTAAAGTCACTCGGAGAGGGCTTTACTGTCTATTGTCTACTCAGTCTTTAGCATTTATATCAGAGAATCTTCTTACTAAAAATGAAGGGAAGAGTCATGCCCGTAGGAAGAAGGAATGAAGTCTACTTGGGTTTCTGTACTTTTATTTTTTTAATTTTTACAGCTCTTTGTTGCTGGCTTAATTGTCCTACTTTTGGATGAACTTCTGCAAAAAGGATATGGCCTGGGCTCTGGTATCTCCCTCTTTATTGCCACTAACATCTGTGAGACCATCGTGTGGAAAGCGTTCAGCCCCACCACTGTCAACACTGGCCGAGGTAAGGGCCCTGGGCTTTCCTGGGGATAGGAGTTGGTAAAAAGTACTGACATGTGCAAAGCAGAAAATGAAGGTTCCCCCGTTCAGGGAAAAATCACCTCCATTTTAGGTACATTACTTCTGATGTTTCTGTGTGCATCAGCAGAATTTTCTTAAAAATAGACAGGCTTCTGCTCATATGGTACATAACATGTATTCCATGTCAGAGTATTCCACAGATACTTGCCATGCCGGAATACAGAATCCTGCCTCATTTTTCCTAGCACATTGTGGACTTTATGGCAGGGATGAAGCAGCATTTATTTAACCAGTCTTCTAATGTACTTGTAGGACATATATAGTTTCAGTTGTTATTACAAAACAGTAAACAGCCTCATACATTCATGGTTATGTATTTTAGCAGTAGCTCTCAGAGAATATGTTTCTAAAAATGAAATCACCAAACCAACATCCTTGGTCATACAAGGGGCAACTTTGTGAGAGAGGCCTGGACTTAGAGTTCACCTCCTGGCTGTTTCTATTAATAGTATATACATGGCTTTGGGCAAATCCCTCTACCGCTGAGCCTCATTTGCCAGGATGAAGTGAGAAGTAACATGAAGTGAGATGACACCAAGCCCATAGTAGATACCTATAAAATGTTAGCATTCTACGCTATACGCACAAAGAGTGCCAAGGACATCTTGTTTCAGAGAAGTTTTTAATAATTTCTAAACATACAGAAAAGTATGACTTCTTACGAAAGGCAGTCAGCATTCTTCATCATTAAATATGTTATTTACTTGTAAGAATCCTTTGAGAAGTAAATTTTTAATGCACGTTTGAGTGTTTTCTTTGAATTGAATACTGGAGACAGAGTACTTGGCTCCAGAGACCATATAATCTCAGTAAGACTCAAACTAGGTCCCTGGGTACATCAAGACCACAAGTGCCAAACATTGCAAAGAAAAGAGGGAATGTCAGAGAAGAGTGGGCAAGATGAGACTTGATTCCTCCCTGGGCACTTCCTGGAACTGTAGGAAATCCAAGGCAAATGGGGAGACTAGGGGCCAGAAAGCAGGGCTTTTCTGGAATGGGTGTGAAAGGCAGGAGGATAAAGAGTAGGAGTTCGTGTATATGGCAAGATCATACTATAACTGGTGTGGGGGCATCCTGAATTAGGAGGAAGTGATGCCAGGATGGAGCCAAGCAGCCACTTCTGTTTAGGAGCAGGCCAGTGAGGCAGGGGAACTGGAGTCTGGATGGAAAAATTTACCCCAGGCTGGAGTGGAAGACAGAGAATGCAGTGTTATGATGTCAACTGGCAATGTTTGAGAACTGCCTGGAGAGAAGGTGCCACCAGGAAAGGTGATTCTACAGCCATGTGAAGTAAAACTAATACTTAGAAGCCCTGTCTTGTTGTCAGAGATTCTGCAAATAGTGAATTTCAAGAAATGTTGTTAAAAATTAGAACTAGAGCCTAAACCTGGCATTGCCTTTCATTCAACAAATATTTATCAGGTGCCTGTTAAGGGCCAGGCACTGGAAATACAAAGTGAGTAAGCCATGTGTTATGTGTATGTCAGGTGTTATTGCAGGTACCAAGGAGAACAAGGCAGAGGAAGAAGATGGGAATACCAAGAGTGTTGTACAGACTTAGTCTGGGTAATTGAAGTCCTGAAGAGGGAAGGGAGCCCTATGACTGGGAGAAGAATGTTTCATTTGGGGGAATCAGCAGGTACAAAGCCCTGAAGTAGGAATGTACCTGGTGTGTTCAAGGTCAGTGTATTTGGCTGTGATAGAGTGAGTAAGGGGGAGAGTAGTCAGCTGAGATCACAGAGGTAATGTGGGAATGCTGAGAGTTGACAGAGCATGAACAAGTTCCTCTTCTTTTCCCAGCAACCCAGGTGTCTTCCTCTATGAAATAAGGCTTCATCCTGGCTTCAGCTTTAAGATACCTGAGTTCTGTCCATTGGTTATAAACAAGCCAATGCTGTCACCTGATCAAAAGGAAAAGAGGATGGGAATTGAGGAAGTGCTGGTAATTAGGAAAGAGTGCTTCCACAGAAGCCCATCCTGGAGGCTTCAAAAGAAATCAGCAGTGATGCTGGTATCTCCAAATGGTCCAGTAACAGCCCAGGGGAGAAGCAGCAGATAGCTCACTGTCATGTGTTAGAAACCTGAGGAAAATGCCCTCACAGGGCAGTAGTACATAGGTGCACTTCACAGTACTAATACCAGGACCTCTCTCCCACCCACAGAACACAGTTCTGGACATAACACTGGTTCAGTGTGTGTGGCCAAACTTTTGTTGTGGGATAGTTACACTGTCCTGGAAGGACATGAATACAGTGCTCCTGTTTCTTAGTTGAGCTGAGGCTTGGGGGATTTTTTTTTTAAACTTCAATAAATTTGTTGAAAATTTGTAAGACTTCTAGGCCTTATGAATGCCATGTGCTCCCAGCTTCCTCTCATTTGCCCTCTACTGCCTAATCCTCAGGTCTGGCACCCATTCTTGTTCTTGATTTCTTCAGTCCCTCTGTAAGCTGCTTTGCTTCCTGGCCATGTTTTCCTGGCTATGTTCAGCACTGTTTCATAGGGGTGTGGATCAGGCCTTGTGATGGGCATGCATGTTATCCTTTCTGCTTGATCATCAATGAAATAAGCAGAGAGGTCAGGCCCTGTCTTGTCAGAGGCAGCCTGCACATCAGAGCTGGGGATGCTCTACTGCCTGGGGGTTTCCAGGGAAATGAATGGAGCAGCTCTGAGCCTGCTCTTCAGTGTAGGACCCCTTCAGCTGGAGTTCAGCAGATCCTGCTTTTATGATTGTATAATTGATGATCATTCCACATATCTGGTGGCCATTGACATACATGCCAACAAAATAACTCAAAAAGCTAGAACCTGTTTCTGCAGGTTGAAATCTCTACAGAAGAAATAGAAATGAGGGATGAGAAAATACCACTGTACCCTTGGTGTTATAGGAGTAGACACTGTGAATCTTAAAAATAATTCTGTTTCACTCCCTCTGGCCACTAAGAAGCTGTTTGTCTCTTTACCACATGTGTCCCCTCCTTCACCAACAGGGATGGAATTTGAAGGTGCCATCATCGCACTGTTTCATCTGCTGGCCACACGCACTGACAAGGTCCGAGCCCTTCGAGAGGCTTTCTACCGCCAGAACCTACCCAATCTCATGAATCTGATTGCCACCATCTTTGTCTTTGCAGTGGTCATCTATTTCCAGGTGCGTCCAGACCCACCATGGTGAGCTCTGATGATCCACATTTAATTTTTAGAATGCCTTGGTGTGTACACCTCCACCCACACCCCAGGAGTGGTGTACATCATCATATAGTAATGAATTGGTGGGATGGCATTTGAAAGGAGTAAGTTTCCATGGAAGCTGGATATGTGTGTTCCATTGAGTCATGGGGACCTGCCTAAACTAAACAAAACTGAAGCAGATGTAACATTTCTGAAATTATGCTCCTTTGGGTTGGGCCTAGCAGCAGATAAAGAAGATTCATCTTCAAGTTCTTTGTTCAAGAGAAGTGAAAAATCTCTGTCCCAGCTGGTGTGGCTCAGTGGATTGAGTGCCAGCCCATGAACCAAAGGGTTGCTGGTTCGATTCCCAGTCAGGGCACATTCCCAGGTTGCAGGCCAGGTCCCCAGTAGGGAGTGCACAAGCGACAACCACACATTGATGTTTCTCTCCCCTTCACCCTCCCTTCCCCTCTCTCTAAAAATAAATAAAACCTTTTTAAAAAGAGAGAGAAGTGAAAAATATTAAACTCTAAAGCCTCATCACCATCTTCCCAAAATTTATAGAGTCTTTGTAGGTAGTGTCTTCTTGGAAAAGGCTCTTCCTCTTGAGAGCTCTTACCTTTCAAATTTATTAGTTTGTATCTCTTCTGAATAAGAGACCTGACCTGTCAGTTGCTTTTCTGTAGTTGCATTAGTCTTTGTATTTTTTTATCAGCCACTTTGCATTCTGATATTTATCGAAAAGAAGGGATAACAGTGAAGAAGACTGTTCAGTGCTTATGGAAAGGTACTGGGTACCAGCCAAGTGCTTTTTCTAAGGACAAGACAGGTCTGTTTCTTCAGCTGAGACTTTTAGTCAGATGCCTAATTAATAAACTTCAGTGCCACAATAAGCTTGGTGGGTATTTGTGGTTAGATCAACAAAAATTTATTTTAAGTCCTCTATATTCTGAGTCCTGTTCTACGCAATGCAAGTTTGTAAAAATAAAAGAAAACCTTTCTACAAGGATTTCAGAGGGAGAGGCTGTATTCATACAAAGCTTAGCTTTTCTGTTTATGATTTAAAACACTGTAAAGAGCTGTTCTGGGATGTAAGGTAGAGGCCATGGTGTCCTTGTGTTGGGGCCACTGTAAAAGTATAGGAGAGAAACTACCAAAGAGAACCACTGTTAAGACTTACTTGGGCACATGTCCTTCAGGCTTTTATATATTCCACATTGATGCAGATTTAATGTGATGGACTTTGATAAAAATGGGATTATTTCAATGTGCTGGGCTTTGGTGCATTTTGTAAGCCTGTCTTTCTGGGAACCTTCTGTTGAAGTGACCCCAAGTACAGTGGTGGGTCAGGAAGGGGCATAAGAGCTGTGGAATCAATGTAGGCCTGGCTGTCCCCAGCTGGGTTGTGTCTGTGCATACACTGGATTGAGGCACTGAGGGCACCCTGCTCTGTTTGGCTTCTCAGGGCTTCAGAGTGGACCTGCCTATCAAGTCGGCTCGTTACCGAGGCCAGTACAACACCTACCCTATTAAGCTCTTCTACACTTCCAACATTCCCATCATCCTGCAGTCTGCCCTGGTGTCCAACCTGTATGTCATCTCCCAGATGTTGTCAGCCCGCTTCAGTGGCAACCTGCTGGTCAGCCTGCTGGGCACTTGGTCTGTAAGTACGGCTGCTTGAAGAAATCAGTTTCAATTCTGTGGCATGTTGCAGTGGTGTGCATATATATGTCTTGCTTGTGACCAAACATTTTACTTTTTAATCATGTCTTTTACAAATTCAGCATATTAAATATTCTTTTCAGTAAGAAAACTGCACTATGGACACTTGAGTAAAATTGTATTCCTTTTCGTCTGCTCAGAACCACTTTTGTCCTTATGCCAAGGCATAATGAAACAGCACTCACAGGCTTTCTGTGTATTTATTCTTCCCAGGATACATCTTCTGGGGGTCCAGCACGTGCTTATCCAGTTGGTGGCCTTTGCTATTACCTGTCCCCTCCAGAATCTTTTGGCTCCGTGTTAGAAGACCCTGTCCATGCTGTTGTGTACATAGTGTTCATGCTGGGCTCATGTGCGTTCTTCTCCAAAACATGGATAGAGGTCTCAGGCTCCTCTGCCAAAGATGTAAGTATAAATTACAATTTAATTAAACCAGGAAACAGTAGTTCTCACCTGTCGCTGGTGTAAGGGGTCTCAACTTTTCACCTCTTCCTAAAAAAGTAGTCTGTGAACACACACAGCCACTTCCTCCTCATCAGGCCAAAGTGTATATGGTCATAAATGGGGTCTAACAGTAATTAGTGTTTGCCTGGGGAGCTGGAGCCAAACTAAAACTAGACTTTGTCGTGTGATTTCTTTGCAGCAGTTTTTAAGTTATCTATATAAATATTGTTAGTATGCTAAAAAAAAGGAAACCTGTGAGTGTTTAGTGCCACCATAAAATGTCTACCTGGCTTTCAAGTTCCAACTTAAAATTGAGCATTGTCTTCTCCTCTGGCATCACACAGGTTGCAAAGCAGCTGAAGGAGCAGCAGATGGTGATGAGGGGCCACCGAGAGACTTCCATGGTCCATGAACTCAACCGGTGAGTACTGGCCCTAGGTCCCACTGGTTTTCTTCTGTTTGTGGTTTTCTTATACTTCAAGCATCTTGATAGGGCTTACGGATTTCTGGTTAATTAAATGTTATCCTTGGTTACAGGATAGAAAAGCTTCCTGTATCCATAAGAAAATCAGCATTGTAAATTTCAGATTGCTTTTCCTATCCCTAGCAGGGGCATTAGGCTATTTTGATCATTCTCCTAGTGAGAATTCACTGAAGCCTCTAGATTCAGGAGAAATAAAATGCAAGCCATATATGAAATCCTAAATTTTCAAGTAGTTACATTAAAAAAGTAAACATTTTTAATTAATGTAAGACATACCATGAGATATTTTATGTTCTTCAGAATCTCATGTGGCATCTTTAATATCTCATCTTGGACTAAGCACATCTTACTAGCCACATGTGGCTTTTATGGCCACTTAATTGGACAGCAGCCCTAGTCTGGACCATTAAGGTATGTGAAAAGGTGAAGTTTCAAGGAGATAGTGGAGTGATCTCTATAGGAGTTAGGTTCCTAAATCAGTGGTAAGCATGGCAGAGTGCCTGGCCCTACAGGCAGGTGGCCTGAGTCAAGGGTGGGCCATGCTGGAGGTATCTGCATGGTGGCACCTTGCTGACCAATCTCCCACTTCCCAGGTACATCCCTACTGCCGCTGCCTTCGGGGGGCTATGTATTGGGGCCCTCTCCGTCCTGGCTGACTTCCTGGGTGCCATCGGGTCTGGAACTGGGATCCTGCTGGCGGTCACAATCATCTACCAGTACTTTGAAATCTTTGTAAAGGAACAGAGCGAGGTCGGCAGCATGGGGGCACTTCTGTTCTGAGCCATGTCTCCCCTGGACCAGGAAGAGCCATGCTATGGAATTGCCAAGGAAGGAGGAATAATGAATCCATCATGAGGTGCTGCTGTGGCATGTGGACCTTTGTTTATTTTTTTATTTCATATGCTTTCATTCCACTTTAAAATGCTAGAAATTTCCAGTTTGAAATTTTGCTTTTTATTCTGGCATTGGCAGTCTAACTGTAGAACTGAGGTTTTATTCAGCTGATGGCCAGAGGTTAGAAGGATATATATCCTCATGTGTCTGTGTAACATTTGTTTTAAACTTTGCTCCTTCTCAGTGCCATAGGTGGCTGCGGTGATCCCACCTGTTCCCCAACAAGGGAGTGTCTTATTGGTTAGAAGCACAAACGTTGAAAGGACTAGGTTTCATTGTACTGGCAGGGTGTGAGGCTAGGAGTTGACCATGTGTTTTCTGGTAGATGTGGGTGACTCACTAGCATGTTGCCTCATGGTCAGGGGTAGGAACAACTGTTTAAAATTTGTTCTCTGGAAGATACAGTTGTCTTTTCCTTTTTAAAGTAATTTTTTAGGACAGAGCTACTTTTAAAAGAGAGGGATGAATTTCCTCACAGACACTCTTGGTCTGTCTATTCCTTTTTCCTCTGGTGAGGCTGGGATTCTTCAGCTTTATAAAATTGTGCCTGGCCAAACTAGGCAAACATGTGGAAGACCCCTGAAGTGATGTTTGTCCAGTTGTCAGTGGACCTGGTCCTCTGTAGTTCCTTGACTCCTCACTCAGCCCTAGCAAAAGGAGGCACTGAGGCAGGTGCTCAGACATGAAAAGACAGTGACTTACTTGGTATTCAGAGGCCACCACTACCCTCTAGACTGAAAACTTCCCACTTGTATTTTCTAGAACAGATAGCAAAATGACCTCTACAGGAGTTATTTTTATTGCACTTAGGACCAAACACAAGTACGGTAAATGACAAGATGCCACTGATCTCCTCTCAACTTCCCCAGAAGAGAAGGGTGCAGGCCCTAGAGCTGTGATGCAGTCAGGGCCAGAGAGATTGTGTTTTTTGTAAGCTGTTCTAATGTTTGATATAAAAAGACTGACAATTATGTGTAAAATAAGTTCTGTTTGAAAGAACAGGTGGTCTAGATCTGAGGAATTAGAATCTTTTCTATGGCCTTTGGGAGTCCCTCTCAAGGGATTGGAACCTGGTAGTGCTTGGTAGCAGGGGCAGTAGAGTTAGGAGTGCCCAACTCTGAAGGACTCTTGCTAGAGGGTGCCCCAGTTCTAAGAAGGGAACACCATGGGTAAATGCAGCCCTGTTGGAGAGAGATGTCCCACCAATAGCGGGTACACAGTGGCCTCCAAAGCACAGAGACATGGTCATAATTCGGTAGAAGTGGCAAGCTTGACACCTGGTCAAGTGGGCTCCTAGGAGTCCTCACTGGCAGTGTTAACCAGAAAGCAGACTGACCAAGGAACAAGAAACAGCTTGTTTAAAACCACCCAGCAAATCAGCTATAGAACCAGGATGGGCCTGGCTGGTCTGTCTACCCCCCAGTCCAGGGTGTACAACCATATCACACGTGGCCTTGTCAGAACCGGTCCTGAGCCAAGACCTGATGCCTCCCCTATACTTAGTCTGCTCAGCTCAATCCGTGGGAATGCTGCAGCCTCTGGCAGGCAGGGCAGCAGTCCCCAGGCTTATCGGCAGTGATCTGGAGAGTGCTGGGCCTCATCAGGACCCCCAGAGTCCTGCCTACAGCCTGTAATCATCAGTGGGGCCTGTGAGGCCTGTGCTCATGCCCTGTGGTTAATGACCATAGTGGATGGGGGCTGACTCTAGCCTCCAGGGACTGTCACTGTGGACACCAAAATGGCATTACTGAGATAAGGTGAAAATGTAACAAATAAAGCCAACTTTTTACAAGCCATTTGCTCATGTTCTTTTGGTTTTTTATTCCCAACAAGGCCATTAAGAGAAGACACTTGAGGCTTGGTTCAGTCCTGATTTTGTACAGGATCCTAAGGTCTCCCTAGGTGCAAGTTCCTCCTCACAAATACATTTTGCCTGGAAAACTTCCTTCTGGTGGTAGTTAACCACACACTCAGGCTTTTGGTAATTTGAAACGCAAGTGTCTGAGCAGAAGCCCTGGTACTGGGTTGGTGTGCTGACTGCTTGAATCCCTCCTAGGACCTCTGGAGTGGACCAGTGTGTCCTATGAGGTACAGAATCTTCCCAACAGAAGCCTATGGCCCCATTCCTCATAGCCCTTTAAGTCCAGGCTAAGGGATGTTGTTGCCCCGGCTATGACAATAGGGCATTAGTATTAGTACCCTTCCAGTCACTGATCATGAGGCTGGCCTTGGCCAGAACTGTACGTAAACTAAGAAAATCTCCACTGCACCCTAGATGTCCACAGCATCATGTGGACAGCAGTGGCAGGCATGGTGGCTGCTTTCCTAGAGTGTGCCATGCATGAAAGTCTTCTAACAGCTTTTACTCAGAGCCAAATTAAAAACTATGTATCCAGGGTAAAGTAAGAAAAAAAAAACTTGCCACTCACCCAGATTTCAAAGCTGACATGCTTGTCCTAAACAAGGCCCTGCCCCAAGCCCTTCGTCACGACTCCCTGGCTGGTGCTTCTTCAGTGACCCATAATGGAGGCACTGAGGTAGGAGCCTAGCTAAGGGGGAAGGTCCTGCCCACCTGTCATCATGGCTCACTGAGATAGTGTTGGCCAGGGCAGGATGTCCCTCTAGGGCCACTTGAGGGACCATATTGGGGCATGGCCCTACAAGCCATACATCAGCAGTGTGCTCTGAGATTGCACCAGGACAAGATGTGCAGTCAGTCTGCCCTGTGCTCCCTGTACACTTGCCAGCCAAAGGGGTGGGCTCAGAGACACAGAACAGGAGCCAGCAAGCAAGCTCTGCAAAGTGTGGAGACAGGCAGGGTGCTCTGGTCCTCCAAAAAACTCAGAAAACCTGTACCAGGGAAGCACTAGACCTTCTCTTGCTGCCTCTGCCTGCGGCCAGACCACCCTCACCTGGTAGTAAAGCCAAAGGAGCCCACATTTGAGGTGACACATATATGGTTTGGGTGTGAGGCCCACCCTTGGCTCATTGTGAGGCCAGGCTGGTCCTTCTGTACCTCACTTCCCAACGTGCCCTAGAAGTTGAGCAGTGCCTCCCACTTATAATGGGAGTAACACTCTTTCCTGTGGGGTCAGGCACTATGACAGCCACCTACACATGATCTCATCTACTACCCCCACCCCCTAGCTACTAGAGGCCACAGGAAGAAACTCCTTATTTTACAGATGCAGGAATAATAGTGTGGCCAGAAGTCACACAGCCTCTTTGGAGCAGAGCCAGGACAAAATACTCAAGGTCCCCTTCCTACTTCAAGATCCTGTTTGACTGCTGGGCCTCTCTGCAGGCATCTCTGATGGAGGCCTAGTTGGGAAAGGAATGAGGGGTTCAAGGAAATGACCCACGACAAGGACCCTCTGACATGAGGGCCAAGGTAGGTAGGTATGTGACACCACCTGAGGGTCAGCAACAGCCCCAGTGCAAAAAACTTCAACACCTACCACTGCCTGGTTCTAGAGAGTCATAGTAGTATCCCCTTAGTGGCACTGCCCAACTCATTCCCCTGCCTCAAACCCTCTGGGACACCCCATCATTCTGCTGCAGAGCCTTTTGGCAGCACATCCACACAATCACCCACTCCTTTCCATTCAATACATATTACATAGCCACTGGGAGTAAATGGGTCAGAGATGCTGCTGCTCTCAGAAACTTTTGTCCCTGCAACAGGGGTTGTGCAGGATCCACCAAGAATCTGGACCTTCCCAGTTTCCCTACTCCGTCCTGCAAAGCCCAGCTCAATGAGCTTAGAAACATACAAATCTCCACCAGAAGACAGCTGGCTAAATTACAGCACCTCTTTCCTCTTTTAGAAAGGAACTAGTAGGACATTCTTCACATGGTGAGTTAGAAGAATCTCCAAGATGTGATGTTGAGGAAAAATTTAAGAGGCAAGAAGCAGAAGAGTATATACTACTATTTGTGTTTTAAAATAGACTGCAGTAGAGATAAAAAAATAGACTGCATCAGGAAAAGATTTAACAATTTCTTATGAAACTGAACATATACCTACCCAAGAGAAATTTTTAAATGTTCATTGCAGCTTATTCATAATGGCTGAGAAGTGGGAACAGCATGTGAATGGATGAGTAAAGTGGTGGTCAGCCATACAATCGTTTCATACGTAACTTTAAAAAGAACAAGCAAGATACACATCAGCATGTCTGATCTTGAGGGCATGAATCTCACTGTCCAAAGTGGATTGAAAGAAATCACAACAGAGTACGTACACACCACATGATTTCATTTTTATGACATTCTAGAGCAGGCGCAGCTAATCTATAGGGAGAAAAACCAGAACACTGTTCCATCTAGTGTGGTAAAGATTGGAAAGAGGCACAAGGAAACTTTCTGGGTGACAGTTACATTCTTGAGAGGTTTGAGTTGCACTGGTCAAAACTCAGTTAAGTTTAGTGGACTTGACTGTATATAAATTTAACCTTAAAAAAAAAAAAAAAAAAAGCGCCCTGGCTGGCGTAGCTCAGTGGATGGAGCGCGGGCTGCGAACCAAAGTGTCGCAGGTTCGATTCCCAGTCAGGGCACATGCCTGGGTTGCAGGCCACGGCCCCAGCAACCGCACATTGATGTTTCTCTCTCTCTCATTTGTCCTCCCTTCTCTCTCTAACAATAAATAAATAAAATATTTAAAAAAAAAAAAAAAAAGCACAAGCCCTGGTTGGTGTGGCTCAGTGAATTGAGCCTGCGAACCAAAGTGTCTGTGAACCAAAGGGTCGCCAGTTCAGTTCTCAGTCTACGGCACATGCCTGTGATGTGGGCCAGTCCCTAGTAGGTGGCGCATGAGAGGCAACCACACGCTGATGTTTCTCTCCCCTACTTTTTCCCTTCATTCCCCTCTCAAAAAATAAGTAAAGTTAAAAACATAAACACACACACACACACACACACACACACACACACACACACACATACATACAGCCCCCCATGTGCATCCAGGCCCAGCACCTGTAGCTATCAAGCCCAGATTGTTTTGTAACTCCTAACAGATAGCCCCAGGCCAGTCACAGGCAGCATCTGACATTGACCCTCACTGGACTTCATCCCAAGAGGCCTCAGAACCAATACACCAGGTGAGTGACTTCAGACCAAAACACAGCACCACCCAATTTTCTCCACAAGTTGACCATGCAAAGAGAGTTCTTGGCAGGTACCAGACCCCAATGGAAGAATCCCACTGTGTGGGGTTAGTCCCAACACAGCTTATACACTGTGGTCATGGCCAAGCCTCACAGCTAGTCAGCCTAAGGTCAATCCCACCCACTGATGTGCCAGTAGCAGTCAAGGCTCAACTACAACAGGAGGGCACACACAACCCACAGCTGCCTGCCCTTGCCTCACCACCACTGCCTGGCTACTGCCTTGCTGTGCCACACCACATCCTCTCCACCTCTCCTATCCATCAGGATGAATGTTTCTTTAAATTCTTGGTTGTTGGACTTCCATACAGTTCGATTTTCTGGCAGTTCTGGTTGTATTTTGTTTTTAGATTGGTTGTTACCCTTCTTCTGGTTGTGCAAGGAGGCAAAGCAAGTCTATCTAAACCTCCCTCTTGGCTAGAAGTTAAAACCATTTTCTTCAAGATCAGGAATCAGAGTTGTTCACCTAACTACTTTTATTATGCATAGTATTGGAAGTTCTAGCCACTGAAATCAGGCAGGAAAAATAAATAAAAGGCATCCAAATTGGAAAGGAAGAAGTAAAACTCATAATTTGCAGATGACATGATACTAAGTAAACAGAACCCTAAAGATTCCATAAAAAATTTACTAGAACTGACAAATGACTCCAGTAAAGTAGCAGAATACAAAATTAATATTCAGATATTGCTTGTATTTTTATATATCAAAAATGAACTATCAGAAACAGAAATAAAGAAAATAATTCCACTTGCAATTATATCAAAAACTACCTGGAAATAAATTTAACCAAGGAGGTACAAGACCTGTTATCAGAAAATGTTAAAACATTGTTAAAACATTGTTAAAACAGAACATGTTAAAACATTGAAGAAATTAAAGATACAAAAAAATGTATGTATCATGCTCATGATAGGAAGATTAATATTGTTAATATTTCCATACTACCCAAAACAATCTATAGATTCAGTACAATTCTTATCAAAATACCAATGGCAATTGTTTAAAATATATTTTATTGATTACGCTATTATAGTTGTCCCATTTTCCTCCCTTCACTCCCCTCTACCCAGCAAACCCCCCCTCCCACCCACATTCCCCCCCTTTAGTTCATGTCCAGGTGTCATAAGTTCTTTAGCTTCTACATTTCCCATACTATTCTTACCCTCCCCCTGTCTATTTACTACCTACCATCTATGCTACTTATTCTCTGTACCTTTTTCCCCTCTCTCCTCCTCCCACTCCCCTGTTGCTAACCCTCCATGTGATCTACATTTCTGTAGTTTTGCTCCTGTTCTAGTTGTTTGCTTAGTTGTTTTTTTTTTTTGGTGTGGTTGTTAATGAATGTGAGTTTGCTGTCATTTTACTGTACATGATTTTTATCTTCTTTTTCTTAGATAAGTCCCTTTAACATTTCATAAAATAAGGGCTTGGTGATGATGAACTCCTTTAACCTGACCTTATCTGAGAAGCACTTTATCTGCCCTTCCGTTCTGAATGATAGCTTTGCTGGGTAGAGTAATCTTGGATGTAGGTCCTTTCTTTTCATCTCTTTGAATACTTCTTTCCAGTCCCTTCTTGCCTATAAGATTTCTTTTGAGAAATCAGCTGACAGTCTTATGGGAACT